TGCTGAACCAGAGCGAAACATACCCCTCCCTTCACCCAGCAGAGCAGAGGCCAAGCAGAGCATGCAGAAACCCTTATTAGATACTTCAGTGCCCCCAGTGACAAAGCTTTGTGATTGGCATGGTCGCCCAGAGCTGTGATTTGCCTCCAACACTGTCCAGTTCTGCCTCATAAAGCAAGAACAATGTTTTGCTGAGCAGTAACTGGCTGCTGAGAAACACGAACATGCTCCCCAAACACCAAGAAGCCCTCACTAAATTAAACCAGAGCAGATCTCCCTAGAAGACAGCTAATTTCCATCCAGGGAGGCCTGGCCTGGAGAAGGTTTACAAAAACACAATGAGCCCAGGCTTCTGCACCTGCCCTTCTGAAGAGGACCCTGAAGACCACAGCACCATGCACACTCTGCCAATGTTTTTGAGTGTGGCACGTCTGTGTGCAAGACCTCAGGAGAACATACTGCCTGAGCAGAACTCAGAATCACAGAATTACTTTGGTTGGAAAAGAGCTTAAAGATCACTGAGTCCAACCATCAACCTAACACTGGGAAGTCCTTAACTAAACCATAGCCCTAAGTACTATGTTTGTAGGACTCTTAAATCCCTCCAGGGATGGTAACTCCACTGCCCTGGGCAGCCTGTTCCAGTGCCTGATAACCCTTCCAGTGAAGAAATTCTTCCTAACATGCAATCTAAACCTCCCCTGTCACAATTTGAGGCCATTACCTGTTGTTCTATCACTTGTAACTTCACTAAACAGCCCCATCCCCACCTCTTTACAACCTCCTCTCAGGGAGTTGCAGAGAGTGAGCCCTCAGCCTCCTTTTCTCCAGGCTGAACACCCCCAGCTCCCTCAGCTGCTCCTTGTAAGACACGTGCTCCAAACCCTTCACCAGCTTTGTCCTTTGGGCCCACTCTAGCCAGTTCAGTGTCCTTTCTGCAGCAAGAGCCCCAAAACTGAACACAGCACCTGAGGTGCAGCCTCCCCAGCTCCACGCAGCCTGAGCCACGTTCCGCGACACAACCCCGGCAGAAGTCGCCCACAATCGTCTCCTTTGCTCCCTGCAAGTCACCTTTCCCTTCACCCCACTGCTTCACCTGGCATCTAAAATGCCCTCATACTCCAGCAGCTGCCTCATGAAGCCCGCGTTGGGCCTCGCGATGCTGCGCTTCTGCTTCACGTAGCTGTAGGCCTTCTCCAGGGACCAGCCGAACTCCTTCATGGCGTACGCGATCACTGTGGAGGCCGAGCGGCTCACGCCCATCTTGCAGTGCACCAGGCACTTGGAGTGATTCTTCCTGCAGGAGGACAGAGAGGGAAACACGTCTGGTCATTCTGGTTACGGCGCCGGTTGTTACAGTTCTACTTGGCAGAGGGGACGGTGTGTTGTTGTTGTTGTCCCCCTGAGCACCCCCACCCTGCGGCTCAGTGGGTGAGAAACGTTTTGGATTAAGTGGGCCATGGAGAATAATCTTTCCAGGGAAGCTGGGAGTCAGAGGAATCACAGAATCATTTAGGTTGGAAAAGACCTTCAAGATCATCATGCCCAACCTTTAACCCCACTCTCCCATGTTCACCACTAAACCATATCCCCAAGCACCACATCTCTACGACTTTTAAACACCTCCTGGGTGACTCAGCCACCTCTCTGGGCAACCCCTTCCCGTGCCTGGCAACCCTTTCAGAGAAAAGAGTTTTTCCTAATGTCCAGCCTAAACCTCCCCTGAGGGCAGCTCCATCATGCTGCTGTTTCAGAGCCCACCATGAAGCCTCCTGCCTGCCCAAGGCTTTGGATACAGGGATAAGCAGCAACAACCCCAGTGTAAAAGCCCAGCAGAGCTTGTCCTGCTCTGTCACCATCTCTTGTCTGCAGAGACAGCTGGGGGGGCTGGTTCAATATGGCCACGTGCTGGAGCATCTCCAGAACTCTTTGAGAAGAGGAAATGTCCTCATTTCCTTTTGGAAACAAAACAAAGTAATAATAAAAAGTATCACAGGGTAGGAAGAGGTTACAGTCCGTACAGGAAGAGACAAGGAATGGGGACACTCCAGGGACACGAGCTCCCGGTGGAAGCAGGTGTCTCCAGGGAGGATCCACAGGTGTCAGACCCCGGCTCGGTGGGCTCGGGGGCAGCCCCCAGCCCACTCACTTGGCCTTGTTGATGAAGTGGTAGGCCTCGTTCCAGTGGGCCAGCAGGTCTGTTGTCTCCTCGTCATACACGCGGATGTTGTGGTAGGCAAAGAGCCCGGGGAAGAAGTTGTCGATCTCCCGGGTGACGTTCAGAATGTAGTCGATGCTGAGGGGAGAGAGAGGGGCAGCTCAACTGCCAGGGCCATGGAAGGGAATGGACACACACTGGGAAGCCCGTGAGATCTGACAACATGAACTGTAAGGTTTCATCTCCAGCACAGCTCACACACCTGACGTGCCAGGCCTGCCCCTTCCCCCATCCCTCCCCACTGGCAGATCCCATCCCAAGCATCAGGACCTTGGGCACAGGATGGAGAAGCTTATCCTGTGTAACCTCATCAGAAGCTCCTCTCTGTGCCTCATGGCTTCTGAGGCCCTGAGAGAAGAGCAGTGGCTGCAAGTGACTCCTTTGGACAAGGGATGGGAACCAGGAACCACTATTTTCAGCTGCAGAACCACCTTTTTTCTCTTCTTTCTAACCAAAAGTCTTAAGTGAGAGTCACACGGTATCTCTTGGCTCCTGCTAAATCTTACAGCAGGGATTACAATGTGCTGGGCAGAACAAATGCCCATCTCCATTTATCACCTCCTATCACTCAGACCAGTCAAGGACACAGGATATTTCTTTCAGAATCTGTCCAGCTTTGTCTTTCAGACACTGCATGTCAAGATGCCTTCCCTGTAGATCAAAAGCACTGATGTGCTGGGTGATCGACTTGTTCAAAGATGTTCAGACATCTGTTTCCGAGGACTCCAAATTAAACACTTGTAGTCATGTTGTTGAGCAATATTTTTTAGCTCCTGGCAGCAGGGCTGGTGTGTGCCTTGGGCAAGCAGCAAATATTTATACGCAGAACTCTCACTTGTCCAAAAAGCATGAAAATAAAGGGAGCCAAGAAGTGGTGTGTGATGAGAGCGTGGTGAAAGACAGCCCTGCAGCTGCCTGTCTGGGCAGGTGAGGTGGAGATTGCTCATCTGCTCCATTTAGAAAGAGTTTTGTGGGTTTTTTCGTTTGGTTTGTTGTTTTTTTCCCCCCCTAAACTCATCACTGTAGTATCTGCTGTTCTGCAGCCTGCAGGAATTCACACCTGACACAACAACAATCTATGGCCACTTCACACTCAGCTGCTACACACCAGGGGGGTCTGGACATCTTGGTGTAGTTCACAAAGGAGAAGTTTTGTTGTTTCCACTCTACAAAGTTGATTGATAGAAACAAAGAAGGAAAAATTGCTCAACTGAGGTCCTGGTGGCAAGTGAACCACTTCACTGGGAATGGGCCCAAACTCATCCCTGCAGTCTACAGACATCACGTGTCATCCCAAGAGACCTGAATATAAATGCAAGGCAAACAACTGGAGATTTCAGTGCTGGAAAGGTGAGGTACTCACCCCGAGCCCTGCAGCTCCTCAAGGTTGGAGGCATTCCACTCTGACCCCTGCAACAGCCACAGAACACACGTTTTGAAGGAGCCTGAGATCCTCCCTCTTTCCTAAGGTCCTGCAATCCCCCCCCAGCCTCACTGAGATGCTGGTAACAGCCTCTGGAACAGCAACACAGCACTGGAGCAGCTCAGCACAGACACGTCCTTCCTGATAGGGCAGGGACCTCCTGAAGGAGGGAACAGGGGCATTGTGTCCTCACCTAAGGAGTTAGTTCTAGGCCAGCATGACTGAGCACATCCCAAGTCACTGCCCCGGCCACTCTGGATTTTCAGCCACCAAGATCAGTAGTGCAGGGAAAGAAAATGCTTGTGTGTAGCATGACTGGGATCACAGGCAAAACCTGAAAGCTATGGGGGTGGTCACACCTTTGACCCCCCACACCTGCAGAACAGGAAGCTAGAAAGGGTTTAAAAAGCAGTTTTTGCCCTTGAACACGAGCAGTTCCTCTGACCCTCTCCAGAACAAAACAAAACAGACTGAAGAATAACGGGCACAAACGTGTCCATCTCCAGCAGGCCTTTGTTCCAGATGGCAGTGCCTGGTTTTGCTTGGAGTACCATCTAGTGGCAAAAGACTGGAGGAAACACAGACCGTTCACTGCTTCTGCTCAAGCTGAGCAGCCCATCATCCATCACCTGCAGGCTGATTCTGTAGGAAGCTCTGGCCAGGCCTATAGAGCTTCATGGGCTCAGTCCAGAAAAGCAACTCAGTGCCCCTCAGCAGAGCCACAGGGCAGACAGCTCCTGCCACAGCCCTTGTTTGCCTTAAAAGAAAATCACTGCTAGAAATAGAAAATGAGCACGCAGAGAAAGAACTTGAGCTATGCCATGGTATGTCCTGAAACAGACCAACCTGCCAGGGAAGAACCAGTACATCTAGGGCCAGAAACAAGAGTGGAGCCAGAGGAAAAGGCTTCTCTACTGTGGGCTTCTCCAGGCAGCATCTGTGCTGGAGGAAAGTGTGCACAGAGGGTGGGAGAGCAGGGCTGTAGCTCCTGCTCAGGCTGCAGGAACCAGCCCTGACACAAAATCCAGCTTCCCCTGAGCCCAGTGACCTGTCAGGTCACTCCCACTGAGCCTCCTGCTACTATGGAGCTCCTCACATGGCAACTTACCAGATATAAATGATCAAAAATCAGAGACGGTTTGTCCATCTGACCCAGGATAAGCAGCATTTCATTGTCTATAAATTCCTTGAATTCCTTCAAGTTGCAATTCATGTGCTTCTCCAGCTCATTTCGTATCTGCAGAGAAGAAAACAAAGGATGCCACCTAGAATCATGGCTGTTCAACAGAAACATTTGCTGGCACTCCTCTGCAAAACACTTTTTCTGTAGTTCATTAAAAACAGCACGAGGGATTTGATCTGTTGGAGACAAGGAATCTCACTGTGTGGCATCTCTCCAAGTATCCCAGGCCCCCAAACTGAAGATCTGTAAATGAAGCTTCAGATAAACATCTGAGCACAAAAAAAATATACTTGGGGTATCTGCTTCTTAAAAATAATTCCAGAGGAAAAAACCAACACAAGACCTCAGGGAGCAGATAACTGAAACATGTGAAATCCAACAGGAACAAGGAGTAACAGCAGCAGTGCTAGTGAAGAGAGAGATTTCATAAGAATCATGGAATGGTTTGGGTTGGAAGGGATCTTTAAGATCATCTAATTCCAACCCCCCTGCATGGGCAGGGACACCTCCCACCAGCCCAGGCTGCTCCAAGCCCCATCCAACCTGCCCTTCAACACTGCCAGGGATGGGGCAGCCACAGCTTCTCTGGGCAGCCTGGGCCAGGCTCTCACCACCCTCACAGCAAAGAATTTCTTCTTAAAGTCTAACCTAAATCTACCCTCTTCCAGCTTAATTTCCAATACTCTCCCTCTTTAAGATGCTCTGGCACAGACAGTCCTGCCACTGCACCTCAGCTGCAGAAGGTGCAGGGCAAAGCGCCACAACTTGGTTCAAGGCACCACAGAAAATGGCTGCAGCAAAACAGAAGCATCCTGAGAGCACCCAGGGCTCAGAGCTCCAACACAGCCAGAGTTCTCAGCTGTAGGAAGGAAAGCCCTGCACATTAACAGCCTCCCTCAAAAACCACACAAACACCCAACCAGAAAGAACTATTTCCACTTGCTCTGAGTATCTCTGCGCTGTGGCTGGACCTACTGACACCAGCCAGCAGGACAGGTCCACATGAGCTTTAGCCTTGACTTGGGATTTTTCATCCATAAACTCACAAGCAAAACTGTCTGCAAGTCCCTCTGACATTTGTTCAGGAACAAAGAAAACAAAACCTCCCAATAGAGCTGACAAGGAGAAAGGAAAGCAAACACTTTGCTCTGCTCTGTCCACAGGCAACTGTAGACCAGGACACTCCTCTAACCCCACTGCAAGGCCTCAAGCTACCAAGTGCAGCTTTTGAGAGTGCTCCTGTGCTTGGGCACCTCCCAGGGCTGCACCCAGGAATGAGTGGCTGCAAGTTCACTGCTTGGACAAACCTGCACGTGCTGCAACCAAGCGTGAGGCAGGTGCCTCCTCTGCTGCCACTCTGTTGGCAAAGAACCAGGCACTTGGCATTTGAAAGTCACATACTTGTTCTCAGGGTTTGAAAAACACACTGGGGTGTTGGGGTTACCCTGATATTGCTGCTGAGGCTGCAGAGCAAAGCCAGAGAGCAGTCTCCTGGGAACAGCTGGAAACACACTGCAAAGCCAATGATCCCCAGTCCCAGGGTGTCTCCTCCTGAGCACAGCACTCTCTGGAAATGGAGTCCAGCAGGAAATGTTCTATTTACCTCCTTGGAAGTCACATTTTCCAGGTCTTTGCTCATCATGATGCTCCGGAGTTTGGCTTTAATGAGCCGCTCCGTCCGTTCCCGCTCGGTGGGCCTGGAAAGGGAGAGGGGGGGGATGTGTCCAGGCTGGCAGGGAACAGCCAGAGCAGCTCCCACTGCAGAGGAGCAGTGGCAGGGACTTGACTTAAAAGCAATTTTTATGAGAATAAAGGAAGGAAAAAAACACAACATCTGAAGACATTTATGAAAAGAAAGGAAATGAGCCACGGGAGGAGAGAACCAAAGGGAGAAGGGGAGATTCCTCTCGTGAGCCAAGACAACTTTTTAAATTAAAATTCAGGACTGACTTGTCAACAAAGAGGGCTGGAGAGTCGGGGCGGGTGGACTCCAGGTCCTGCATGGCATTCCACTCGTTGATGCAGCTCTGGTCAGAGCTGATGCAGCTTTCATAGTAGGTGGCCCAGACCAAGGCCATCCCACCGGGGAAGTAGTTGTACCTTCTGGCAACTTCACAGGCTTTATGGAGGATCTGTAAAGCAGACCTGCAAGTTTGGAGGAGAAATGTGTGCAGACATGAGCAGCAGGGACTGGCAGAGCAGGATCAGAGAGATTTTCAGGGGGAAAAAGGAAAAAAAACACAAAACCAAATGGATTTTCAACATTGTTTGTGGCAGGTTGTTTTCTGAGCTGCAGGTTTATTGTACCAGAGTTCAGAGAGGGCACAAACTGCACCTTGGAGGCCTTCTCAAGAGCTGGCCCAAAGCAGGGGCTGGAATCTTCTCCTGATTAACATGCAAGCACAAGGCACAAGTCGCTCTGGGATCTAATCATTAGCTAACTCGTAAAGCCAGACCAAAGAAAAATAAGGAACATGGACAATTTTCAAACCACCTTCAGCAAGGAGTCAAAAGCCTATTTACCAGCATTCTTGGCCCCTGACATGCTCCAGGGACAAGGCCCAGATTGGGTCATTTGTTTTTGCAAATTCTAGCATTACTTTTTCCTTCCTTCCCCCCACATTTTTCCTTTTTTTTTTCTTTTTTCTTTTTTCAAGACTCTGCTCTGAAGATGTCATTGCACTGAAGGCATTAACCACATCTGAGGCTGCCAACAGGAGGGGCCGAGTTAAAAAATGACAAGAACAAGAGTTCCATTTGTTCCTGTACCAAACCATCCCCAGCACAACATCCTTCTCCACATCTATATCTTTTCCCCATCAGATGCTGCAAGGAGGGGGATCTCTCAGGGCCCCAACAGGAGCCAACAAGCTGCCCAGACCAAAAGAGATGCATTTGTTCTCTGCAGGGCTGGGGAGCAGCCTCTTCCAAGGAGGAATTTGCTGGCACAGTTCCTGCTGATTCAGCCACCTCTGCTTCAGTGTTTTGGAATCCCTGCACATGGGAGGGGTGACAGGAGCTGAAAGGTGAACAGGCACCTGGGGAGTTTCAGCAGCAGGAACCCCAGCTTGGCCCCAGTAACAAGGCAGAACACAGGGAATGCCACTGGGAATGCCATTGGATTGGCAGTGGGTCCCCCAGGCTCCTCCCTCTGCCAGTTGGAAAAATATGTGGAGAGAAGAAAGACTGGGTGTGCAGCCTGATGAATCCAAGTTGGTCTTTCATGGTTATTCATCTCACTGGTGCCCTTTTCCCTTATACTGAAGAGGACATTGCTGCTCTAAGCAGAGGCAGAAGGTCCTGTTTTCAGACCAGAAACCACCCTCTGGTCCTGTTCTGGGCTCAGTATTCTCCCACTCCCTTTACAGCACCACTACCTGCTGACACAGGACAGCATCTCTGCTGCAGCCCACTAAGCACCAATTATGGAGAGTGCTAAAATGCAGTTTGTTCATTTGTTTTTAATTTGCTTACAGAAATGACAGCCTCTTTCTCAACAGAGCTAATTACCACACATACCACATGGCTTGCACTGACACTGGCTTGAAGATGTGCATCCTCCCTGCAGTGCTCACGCTGAAGCCACTGAGAGAAAGGGAAAAAAAGAAACCCAGAGTCAGAAACTGCTCTTCTCTGCATCACAAGCTACAAACAGGTACTGCCAGGCAGCTCCAGGGACACTCACAGACCAAAACAACCAGGGATGAGATTTTCTATCACTGATTTTCCAACATCCTTGCAAATAAGAAGGGCAAGTGCCAGGAATAGGAGCTGCACCCCTGGGGGGGAATTTCAGAGAATGGTCACTGGGTATCCCAGGTTCCACTCAGCAGTTTGAGGGCAGCAAGACAAAACTCCCTGTCTGAGCAAGAGGACTGCAGCTGTGAATCCAAAATTGGAACTTCATTTGCAAGGCGATGGAGAATCTCTCCTAGAGCAGCCCCCAAGTAGGGAAGGACACTCACATTTATCCTTTTAATGTGGTTTCTTACCCATCACCATCAAGATGGATTTTAGTATCACTCCACAGGCGAAGAACCATTCCTATAGTGCAGCTCTTACTGGAAGAGAGATTGTTACACAGGATGTTAAATATAGGCCACAGTGAAGTCATGCCAATATCCTAAATTATTAATACCCTTTAATTTTTAAAATCCTCAAGGCTTGCTCTAGTAATTCCTAGTAATATCTTAGGCCATCAAATGCCTGATACACAAGGAGACCAGGAGCTGAAGTCTGAAGGTCTGCCCTGGCATGAGCATGCTGCCTGCTCCATGGGGCTGGAGAAAGGTCAGAGAAGCAGGAGTCAAGACTCCCAGCTCCTCCCTCCCCTCCAGGAAGCACTGCAGGATTTGCCCCACATCTCTCCTGCTCTCTCCAGGAGCTCCAAGCAGGGCAGGTCCCCACCAGGACCCAGAAGCAGCTGCCAGGGGTCTGGCTGCAGAGGTTCAGCTCCCTGGAGGGAAGAAGAGAGCAAGGCCTGGGAGGTGGCAGAACTGCCACTGCCCTTCCCCAGGGTCACCTTCCCCAGGGGACCCCAGGGGCCCTCCAAAGGGCTGCGTGTTCCATTTGCACTTCAGCACTCTGGCTGGTGGGGAGGACAAAACCAGATTTTATGAGTTTACCTAACCCAGAAGAACACTTTCATTGCAGAGATGCAATCTGGCAAGAAAACTGTGCCACAATGGGGGACAGTGACTTTCAAGCAGGAAATAATTAAGCTACTGCAATATTAAAGTTTGAAAGGACATTGGGATGCATTCAGCAATAGCCAGTTAGCAAAGAACTCAGTTTTTTTGTTCTTTCCCTTTCCTTTTTCAGCCTCCAGCTGCTTTCTGCAACAGATGAAAGCATCTGACAGGCCAGTTTGAACACACATGTGGCCAATGTGCACTTTAGAGCCTGGCGAGAAAAAATGGTTTTTATTAAACAGATGTAAAAGGAATAAAATGCAGCAAAGTGCCTGACTGGTCAAGCTGTCAGAGCCAGAACACTTCCAGCTCAGCACTGACAGCTCAGCCCCAGCACAGAGCCACGGAGTCACCCCATGAAGCCACTGATGCCAACTGACTTCTCTATGCATGAAACTCACCCCTAATGACCAAACCTTTGGCCTTCAGGGGACAGTGGCTGAACCAGCAGCTCACTCTACAGTCAGGATGGATCTGTCATAACTTTTCCACCTTCCCTCTCACCTCCCACCACCAGTCACCAGGAACATATTATTGCTTCAGGTTTGAAGAGGACACAGCACACAAACATTCACTGCTGTTGCACACGAGTGTGCCACAGGGAGATGGGCATTAGTTTCCTCCCTAACACCAACAGTAAGTGATTTAACAGCAGACACAAGAGGCAGCATCAAAGCCAATGACAATCAGCTTATGAGGAAGGCACAGCTGGGAGTTTCCCTGCAGCTCCCACTGCAGAAGCTTCCCCCTTCCACTGACAGTAATGGAAACAACCACTAAGGTTTTCCAAAAAGAAAACCAAAGTCCCACTGGCTGCACCAGCATGACAGGGCAGCCTGCTAAACCAGGGGAGAACAGAAATAACAGCCTGGAAGCTCTGACTTCTAACTCCAGCTCTGCCAAACCAGCCCTCTCTCTCTGAGCCAAGAGCTTTTCTGCCTTGGTTTACTCACCTAGAACTGGAATAATGTGAGAGGGTTTGTGATAACAAAATATTTTGTTTGCCTTTCCAAACACTATGTGCTCTTATCAGTTAGACAAAAGAAACAGCTCATTACTGACACATTTGTTTGTTGGTTTTGGAGGCACTTTTGCAGTATATTGGTTTGATGTTATTAGGCAACTAAGCTACCCCCCCAAAACCCAGCCCCATTGCATCAGACCATCCACAGACTTGAAGTCTGGTGCACAGATTAAAATAAGTTCCAGTTCTGCAAATGTGTCTGTAAGAGCATTTTGCAGTGAGCAGACAGCAAACTACCACTGACGAGGTAGATGAACAGCCCTCCAGATGGATCCCATGTGATCACTTCACCCATAACTCCCCAGAGACTCCAAGGAGACCAAAAGCTTTCTGGAACACAAAAACCCACCCGCTCAACTGGGCAGAAAACTCAACACACGCCCCTTCCCTTGCTAGAATTTGCAGATACGTGTAACGTAACTGCTTGGGGACAAGTCTGGTGTTGACAGGCTTCCCAGAGAAGCCAGCCTGCCCCGTTTCCAAGCTCAGACATACCTCTCCTTGCTGGAGAAATCCACCCCCAGCAGAATGTTCTCCTCCGTGTCCTGCCGGCCGCTGCTGTACACGACCACCATGTACCGCACTCGGTCTGTCCACACGCTTTCCAAACGGACAGCCTAGGAAAGGGTCACCAAGCTTTGCACACCAGCCCCTGGATAACAACTACTTCTGCCTAATCTGCTGCCTAATCATCTTTTCAAGGTGCAATTGTGCTCAAAAGCTCTGCTGAGTATGAAAGACACAGGGAGAGACAGTCCAGCAGGGCTGGGTGTCAGCTTGACCTGGCGTGGGGTGGGGAGCTGATCAGCCCAGATTACCTGCCCCAGGCTGGAGAAATCCTGCAAAATGCTACTTGGACATTTGTTCTAAAGAAGTGTGACTAGAAAGTTGGTAAAAATATTGGTCATGCACTGAACTGAAAAGGGAGGCAAGTTCAAGGGATTCTTCCACTGAAATCAGCCAGGCATGCTGGAGGGATCACTGACACAGACTGTTCTGCAGCCACTTCTGTAGCCTCTGCAGGTTCCTCTAAAAGAAAGCCCAGCCCCATTTGGATGCAGTTTCAAGACTGACTTAAGATTGTCCATTAGCATCAGCAAGCTCCTGCTTCTTCTCCTCTATCAGTGTTTGTCAGCTGACTGGAAAATCTAACTTAACAAAACAAACACACTTCAGACAGGTCAGTTTTTTAACTCAACTCATGACCTAGATGTAAGGACCAGGGCAAAAGGAGTGGACAGGAAAAGGTAGTAGGGCTGGGAGCACAGAGTTCAGCTGATTCTGAAACCTAAGATGTGCCAATGCTTTCTGTGAACCTCCACAGGTCTGTTTTGAATGCCTCCAATAGGAAGGAGAGCAGGAAAATGCATCTTTTCTTACCAGTTTGATCCTGTCCTCACAGCGAAGGAGGTTGATCATCACCTGGAGGTGTTGGGGCAAATCACCTGCAGGGAGAGCAGAGGCAAAAAATCAGAAAAGGTCTCTCACTTGCTGCACTACAAGTCAGCAGAGTCCTGACCTTCAATGAAACTGGATGTTTCTAAGTAAAAAAAATTACCATTTATGGGAGGCCAATTTGGTGGCCCAGAGAGCACTGACTGAAGTGAGCTTCTTGGAACAGCATTAGCTGTGGGAGAGCTTGACCAGATGGTATTTGGAAGCTACCAAATGTATTGAAACCAACTGTGACTGGCACACAGGATATTCTTCCTCTTCCAGGATTGTGGGACCAGGCCCCCTGGCCTTAAGGAGGTGTGTCTGAACATGAGAAACTCCCAAGGAAGAGCTGCAGGAAAGGCTCAGTTTGGTTGATGGATCCCTCCTATCTCAAACAAAGTGCTGCTCATCCCATGAGTCCCTTAGGCTCTAGAGTAGTGGGTACATTTCTGTCAGGGGAAAGCAAGCAAAAGGAACACAGAACCTACAAGAAAACAAGACAAGTTCACATCTAATAACTGGGCAATGTGCTCATAACTTTCCATACAAGATAAAATTCCTTCCGTAGGATGCTTGCCGGGTATATGGAATTGCTGACAATTAAAGAAACCCAAAGCCAAGCTTGGCATTCAAACACTCTCTTTGTGCTTAGAGTGTTTACTAAGCAGCAGCCACACAGTACCACACTGTGCCTTTCCCACATGCTCCTGCTCTCAAAATGCCTCATGAGCTTATTTCTCTTTTCCCAGTGATCACTTATTCTGAAACTGTTCAAGACAGAAGGTCTGGAAACACTGGGTGAGTAGAATCCACTTTCCTGAACCCCTTACCTGCTTATCAGTCCTTATGTATCTTCACCCAACACCTCCCTACCATTTCTTCCCACCAGTCTGGGATACTAGGTGGGACTGGGGGAATGAGGACAGTCTGCTCTTAAACCATGGTTAGATCTCACAGGCCAGATTGTCATGAGGTAACTGAATAGGGGATTTTCCTGAAACCAGGAAAGGGGACACAAGGAGCTAAGAAACCTATGTCTATCCAGAGACCCAAAGCTCATTAAAATACTCCTCACTCTTCCCAGCAACATCAAATGGAACAAGCAACAGGTAGTCCCAAAAGAACAAACAGTGTCAGCTGGCACCACAAGTCCCAAGCTTCAGATCACTGGAGGCTGGGAGAGCACTGGGAGAAGTGTCCCCACTGTGCTGAATCAGGGCCTCGGTAACTACAGAGGAGATGCCAAGAGCCCTGTGACTCAGCCCATCCAATTTTCCTCCCCACAGGGGGAGGGCAAGACAAATCACTGAAGCACAAGTGACATTTCTCCACCCGCAGCTGTGGGGCACAGGGACACATTCAGCACAGACCCTGGGGCTCAGCAGGTTGCCCTGCTCAAAGAGTGCCACCCTGCATGCCATCATGTCTGCAGAGAATCAGTTCCTACTCCAGCTACAGTTCTGAGAAAATGACAAAGGTTTCAACAAAGACTCAATAATCCCACATTCCCATTCAAATCCCATGGGCTGGAAACCTGCTTTTACTCAGCAGGCTGTACAAGACACTAATGACAATTAGAGGGGTCACCCACTCACCCACGTGTGCTGCTGGCCTCCCCACAAGGCAGGATGAGCAGCAAAGCAAGAGGGAAAAACAATCTCAGGAGGTGATTTAATCCACTACCTGCATGTTTGTGAGGATGCTGGAGACTCCTCTGGCCCTGGGCGCTGTTTCCTTGCTGCAAGAAAAGGGCTGCACCTTTCACCATGAAAAAGCTCTCGCTGAGGCTGGAAAACAAACGACAGAGAAGGTCAGCTGAAAGGGAACATCAGCAAGAGGCATGCTCAGGTCTGTAGGCCCAGGGAAAGAAGAGGTTCCCCTCATTAAAAAGTAGCAGGATTTTGCCCTGAGAAGCTGTTCCCACAGTGTGATCCTGCCACTTGCATGGTGTGACTTCAGGATTATTCATGGATTATTCACATGTCATTTTCCACCAACATTTTATTACTTGGTCATTGCAGGAGATACTTGCCTGAGCTGTCATGGGCTGAAATTACTTTAGCATTTGATTATCAAATTCTGTAACTTAAAACCAGTAGAGGGTACAATTCTCTACAGGCTTAGACCTGTAAAGATCAGGTTCCAAGTCAATCAGTCCCTGCTAATTTCAGTTCTTGAGACTTTGGAATGCAAAAACAAGAACAGGCAACCATGAACCGTCTGTAGATGTCAAGAGGAAGGGAGGGCAGATGAAACCTGCACATCGCAAGAGAAAGGAAACTGCACTGAAACCTCAGGGGAGAAAACAACCGACACAAAAGCCGAGTTTGCTCTGGCTAGAAACTGCTGGCCTGGAAAATACGGCTGCTAGGAAGGCAGGTCACAGTGTGTACAAAGACAGGGGGTTTTTCCACAGTCAGATGACACTCAGGCCTCAAAAGAGAACTAAAGGTAAGTCTGAACAAAACCAGTAGTTACAGTAAGCAGCAGCACAAGCCCAATTACAATGTACCATGACGCACTGGCGAGCGTTGCAGAAACAGGCTTGGACATAAGTGGTGAAGTTTCCATCTCCCAACAAGGCTGAAAATCAACATCTCCCAAGCTGCTGCCTTTTAGTTGCCACAGTAACTGCTTACACTGCACTTCCCACACCACTCACAACAGCACCAGAGACATCCTTTGCCTCAAAGCCCAATTTTCTGCCACCCTGTGCTTCCCAACATAGATCATCATTAATTACTGTCTGCTATCTACTATATATAAATGCTCCATTATGAGATTGTGCTACATGGGAGTTACTTATGCTACAGAAAGTGGTCCCACAGGAGTTACTCTTCCCAGAAGTCATCTGTTCTGTACTTTATCTGGGGTCTTTGCCTTAGGGCAGGAGTGACCCTCGATGCTCCGTTCTACCCTAGTGTTTTTGGAAAGACAGACACGAATTTCAGGTCTTTTCAGCTTTCAATACAAGTTCAGATTTTCCCTTCTCTGAGAACACAGCCAGGCTTCCCAGGCAAAGCTCCCTCATTTTTCAGCTGAGCCTTCACAGTGCAAATTTCCCAGAAAAATCTGCATTAGTTTTAAATTTGATATTTCAGCTGCTTTTAGAAAACGAACTAAAATTTTCGCCCAAGTTCCAGCCTCCACAAGTAACATATCAGATGAATAAAATGCCAGCAGGACAACAGCACTCTAATAAACCCAAGCTTTTCTCCATTTACACTCCCACAGTATTCCAGCACTCCCCACTCACTTCTCCAGCAAGTTGTGTGGGACCAGGAGGCGTGTGGAGCTTGCCCGGGGTCCCAAAGGCCGGCTCCGGTTCATTCCAGAAGGGAGCCAGGAAGAGTCTGGTTTCCTTCACACCCCAGATCTCACAGGAAAGTGTTAAAAAAGGCCAGGAGTTACACAAAAGCTGTAGCACCAACACATGGGGTAGGACATTCAGCTGGATACCAGCCTCACACACACTCCGCTGGGGTTTCAGCAAGAGGATGGAAGGATTAGATAATGCACAAGGAAATGATACACAGTATTCCCTTCCCAAGATTTTTGGGATATATTTCTTGGGGACACCGAAAAAAATATTCCTGAAGGATATTGTTTTATCCCTAATAAAGTACTGACTGGGATGTCTACAGCAGGAAAAGCCTTGGAAGAGACAGGGCTCCTTCCCAAAGGCACTGGTAACTCCTGCTCTGAGGGTTCATCTCCCCTGACGTTCTCCTCTCCTGCAGTCTGGAAATCTTTCCCAATAAAGCAGAACATTCCCAATTGCAGGCAAATGAGCAAGCTGTGCTGCAGAAGCAGAAAGGGGCTGCAGGGAAGGGACAGCCCACACACCAAAACTTTTCTCCCCGTGTATTCATCTGTGTGGAAATGAATCACAGAATCATAACCGTTGGAAAGGACCTTAGAAGTTCCAACCGTCCCCTGCCACGAGCAGGGAACCCTACCACTAGAGCAGGTTGCACAAAACTGGAAAGCAAAGCCAAGGAACCTGTGGAGAGCAAGGTTTCTTGTCTTCATTTAGATGTTTGTCTCCTGCACTGTGCACGAAGCTCCCGCAGCACAGCTCGCTGTGCCTCTGAGCACCCCTCCCTCCCTGCCCACCGCTCCCCGTGCTCCCCAGTTCCCACAGAACCTCCCGTTTCCACAAGACCAGCACAGCCCTCTCTGCAAAAGGCTCCTGCTTCACACCATGTTGAACAGCAACATCACCCGAGACCAACCCTGATTCCTGCTCTGGGAACACTCTTTGCTCTCAGCCACTTCACACCACTGCTCCAAAATACAGCTAACAAAACACAAGTCAGGAAAAGCCCAGGCACAAGACTCCAACCCAGTTTTAAAAAGCCCATTTAAGTCCTGCAGTTCTAGCAGACAACTAACACTCCTGCCTTTCCCAAAAGTCTCCCAAAGAACAGAAAGATCCCATCATTACAGAACATCCCCAACTTTTGACCCTCAGCAGCTGAGATGAATGCCCCAGCAAGCAGCATTTGTTAGCAGCAGAAAAACGAGTGGTTTATACATACTAATTTGGACGGGTTTTCTTTGAACAGCAGAAGCATTGTGCTGGCCCAAGAGTCAGACAGAAGTCAGTAAATTCAAAAAGATTCATAACTAGCTGTAAAACTCACATCCTTTTGCTTCTAAACCCATTAAAAAAAAGAAAAGGAGAAAAAAGTTGTCCGTAGATTCTGAGCGGAGCAGAGAAATCGCGTCTGTTGATGCTACCCAGGAACTGGATGACTTTTACAGAACACTGTGTCTTCCACTGATATCCTGGCTTGAAAAAACACTTGTCCTAACATATCCTGATGAAAGAGGGCCATTCAGGAGGGGGAAAAACCAGCTGAGGCTCGTCTAATCATTTCCCTCCTCCAGACTTGTTTGTTTGTTTGCTTCCTCCCGCCTGCTCCGAAGGCAACGAGCATCGACCAGCAACCCTGGACCTTCGCCCCTCGCCATGGGAAGTCCAGATTCCCTGGGACAGGACCAGATGAAAAGCATCATATCAACTAATACTTATTTGTTTCTTTACAATTAAAAAGCTGCAAGCCACCACTGTAATACAGGCATGACAAAAGCATTAGCTGTCACATGAAAATGCTTCTTCACTTACTGTACAGCAACCAGGGCTGGATTTTTCAGAGTGACTTGCGAGTCACTGAGCTACTACAGAACAAGAAAGTCTTTCAGGTGGTTTGGTATTTATTTCTGTGGTTGGCTACAACCAAATGCACTGAAGACTTGCTTCTTATAGACCCCTAATTTCTTCTCGAGGCACAAACCATAATGACATGCTTGTGTTTCACCAGTACCATGAGCCTGAGCAGGGGGAGAAGCAACTTTCTGTTCCATTGTCACCTGGCCCACTGGCATGCCCAGCAGAACCCACCCACTCCCTGGATGCCCTTCCAGGAATCCTGACCAGTATAACTACTTCACAAAAGTCATGTCAGGCTCTCAAATGCCCAGTTTGGTCCCAGCCCCAGGACCCTGGTGCTCCAGCACAGCTGCAGACCAGTCCTCCTTTCCTTCCATAACCTCAGCTGACCAAACTAGAGGCATTAACCCCCCAGGGGAGGTAAAAACCCAGGGCTGTGAGCACCTGGGAAATGCCAGAAGGAGGATTCTGATTCTGCAAAGCAGGGGCCCTTCTGCACCCAGAGGGCTGGCAAGGAGAAGGTGCTTAGTGGTTGAGAGCAAGCTCCAGGGCCTCTTGCTTCACTGTCCCTTGCTCTATCCACTGGCTCCGTGCTGCTCAACTTGCCAAGGAAACATTTCTCCCCCTTTGGGAAAGCTCCAGAAGAGCGTGGCTGCAACACCCATCAGTGACATTTCCAGCTGTTGAAGAACACAATGGGCAGTGACAAAGAGCCTCCCCCGGGCCCACAGAGGCCAGTAACAATCTGCTAAAACTCCTGGGTTTGGGAGCAAGAGGCAAACCTGCTGGTGTTGCTGGACAGACACAGCGAGCTGGGAAGAACTGCCAGTGGCAGAACAATTCTCGGGCAGCAGCTCAGCTTGCTTTGCCATGGCAGCTCAGGCTGGGGTGTGACCCAGATGGGAACCCTGGGAGCCTCGGGTGTTCCCGGTCCCCGTTTTAATGGGAACTCTTGCAGGACACAAGAAAACAGTCTGTTAATACATCCTATAGCTACATAACTCATCTCAAAATAACTATCCGCACAAAGAAGTTAGCAAAGAGAAAACCACTTTCCCTGGGAAGACCCAGCCCAGCCTGAGGCTGATTCAGCAGCCTCTTGCTGCTCTAAGAATTCAAAAATAGTATCTAGCTAGAAGAGGCAGGACACAGAAACAGCAGAGCCTGTGTCTGGCTGGCTGGGTATCCCTGCTGCTCCCAGGAGTGCCTCAGGACTGCTCGGGGCACGGGATGCCCCAGGGGCCTGGGTCACCTCCACACCTCCAACAGCCTCAGCCAGAGGCAGGGCCAGGGCAGGCAGCAGGGAGGGGAGCTGCACCTCACACCCAGGGCACAGGCTGTCCTGGGAGCAGCCCAGCACCACGACAGGACAAGGCACTGCACCTGATGGGTCTCACAGCTTGCTTCAGCTGACCTTCAGAGCTCACCCCTGCACAGCCACTACATTGAAATTATAATCTCCTCTCCCAAAAAGATCATGTCCCAGATGTGAAACACTGGCCCAGGCTGCCCAGAGTGGTGGTAAATGGCCCAACCCTGGAAACGTTCAAGGTCAGGCTGGGCAGGACTTTGAGCAACCTGATCAGGTTGAAGATGTCCCTGCTCACTGCAGTGGGGTTGGACTAGGTGACCTTTAAAGGTCCCTTCCAACCCAGACCATTCTACGATTCTATGTCCTTTCAATGTGTCTGCTCTCACCTGAAGCTTTCTCTGTTTCTATTTAACCCTTCATCTTGAGCAGCTCTCACCCTGTTGACCTGCCTTGTGCAGCTCAGGCACAGAGCTCCATGCTCCAGAGAAGCTCTACCGTGAAACCTTGCCCAGGCACAGGGCCACCATCATATTCTCCAGGCACTAAATCTCTGTCAAATTAAGTTTCTCATTTTCCTCCTCATGAATGGAACAAAACACACGCATGGTGCAGAGGCAGAGAAGGTCATCTGTCTATCAGGGCTGAGTCAGAGCACCCAAGGGACAGCAATGGCCTCAGGGCTCATCTGACAGCAGACTGCCCAGACTGCTGCACTGGAGCACGACCTTCCCCTCATCTGAGCACCCATCACTGCCGTGGTCAGACCAGGCACCTTGTTCTGCCCTTCCTACCCACCACATGCAGACCTCTCCCCATGCCCCAAGGAGTTGCCCTCCTGCAACCAGCTCCATGTGTTAGACACACAGAAAAGAGCAATATTCACTTCTCTCAAGACTGGTCACACTTTTACACAGGCATGAACATGGCAGTGCCTCCTGGTTTCTTGGGTTTTATGGCATCTTCTGCTCAAAAACGTTTCCAAACTGACAAGGTGAGGAAAAAACAGGCCTCCCAAGCTCCACAAAAGTAACCACACTTCCCTCTTCCACAGCCCCTTTGAGAAGGAGGAAGAGAACTGATTGTTGTTTTTTCCCCCTCTTTTCTTTCCTCCTATTTTCTGCTCTGGGAGAAGCATCTCAGGGCAACTAAGCAAGAACAGAACCACATCCCTGGAGAGGGACTCCCCTGTGCACCTCCCTGCTGCTTGGGACCAAAGCAGTCCCTTGGGATGCTCCCACAGCCCAGCCAGCCCCTCCATGTGCCAGAGGGTGGATTTTAAGGCACTGGTGTGGGGAACCATCTCACAGTCATGCTTGAAACACCAACATCAAGTGGAACCCAGCAGGTCAAGCAGAAAGGGAGATGTGGGGAGAGGAAGAGCAGGAAGAGGCGGCGGCAGCTGCAGGGCCCCTGGGTCCCAGCCCGGCCAGCAGGTCAGGCACACAGACCCGTTGCTGTGCCTGGCAGGAGGAGGCACATCAGAGAACACTTCCTGACCAGGAAAGGGGCCTTTGCAAAGGGTGGGAGCCACACAAAACAGCGCCGGGGAAAAATGAACTTCAAAGCCACTCGCTCACATGCTACTGTCCAACCTGAGCACAGCCCCGGGAGCCTCCAACAGCAGCAGGTCACTGCTCCTGCTTCTTCTGAAAGCACTTGGTGTGTTTCCAAGCAGCCTTTGCTCTGTGTCACACACCAGTCACGCAGGGTCTGGCGCCACAGAAAAGTGAAATGAAACAAAGGAATCACCTTCACAAGCACAGCTGGTAGCACTGCCACGACTGCCCCTGCCTCACGCAGCCCGGAGCAGGATGCTGAGCAGAGGGTCCCTCACCCAGCAGGGCCAGGAAAGACCTGATCTCAAGACATGCAGCTCTGTTTTAAGCCAAAATGCTACTGCAGACACAGAGGCTTCGAGACACACTGATAACTGACCTGTGATCCCAACTGCAGGAACCCAACACACCTGCTGAAGTCAGCAAGAGCTGCCAGATCGCTTGGATTGTGGTGCTTGGCCTCTGCCAGAATCCCTGGGATTGTGGTGCTCTGCCTCTGCCAGAATTCCTGGGATTGTGGTGCTCTGCCTCTACCAAAATCCCTGGGATTGTGGTGCTTGGCCTCTGCCAGAATCTCTGGGATTGTGGTGCTCTGCCTCTGCCAGAATCTCTGGGATTGTGGTGCTCTGCCTCTGCCAAAATCCCTGGGATTGTGGTGCTTGGCCTCTGCCAGAATCTCTGGGATGCACCTCAAGTGGAGGCAGATACCTCCAGGGCAATTTTTGGAAAGGTGTCTTCTGAAATACTCCCTTTATTACAAAAAAAAAATAAAAATGTGGCTCAACTTTGAAAGGTTATAAAAAGTTGTTGCTTCTCAGACTTCCTGAGCTGAAAACAAGTCACCCCAAGGAGAAACCCAAAACACGAGCTGTGAACCACAGCAAGTTCTGATGCTCCTCCAGGCACACAGAGAACATCTCCCCTTCCTCAGAGGCAGCTCAGGCACCACCATGCAAAGGCAAAACGTTTCCTCCAAGGGTTCCAGGCAGCAGATCCTGCTGAGGGGGGATCCTGTCATGTTGCCCACAGTGAGAAACACCTCTCCATCTGTTTCAGAGGAGATGGGGATGGTCAGGCAGGCAGGGAGACCCGCAGGCTTCACTCTGGTGTTTCAGCAGTGAGGCACCAAAAGGGGAGTCTGAGCAGGTCTTGTTGGGCTGGAAGGCCCCCATCCCCAGAGCAAGAATGCTGAGAGGGCCTGAGACACTGCAGGCCACTCACAGCACCAGATACAAACCTCGAGCACAAAGAAGGGGAAGAAAAAAAACCTGAATCAATCATGAAGCTCAGAAAAGCTGATTTCCTAACATGAACAGCCTGGTCTGATGTGGCTCCAGCTGCTCCTGGGCACCAGGGCAGTGAGGGATGCATGGGGCTGGGGCAGCCACCACCCCACGCTGGGGGGGCACGACCCAGGCTGTGCCCACAGGCAAGGCAGGAGAAACCACCCAAGGGAAAGGGCAGGAAGAGGGAAGCAAACAAATTAGCAGGATGGATCCCTGCCCCAGCAGGCTTGTGCACAAGAAGTCATCAGAACAGCTCCCAAACGGCTGGGAAAGAGAAAATTCTAGGAA